ACCATGTCTATAAGTTGGCAGTCCAATCCACCATGTCTATAAGTTGGCAGTACAACCCACCATGCCTATAAGTTGGCAGTCCAACCCACCATGCCTATAAGTTGGCAGTCCACCCCACCATGCCTATAAGTTGGAAGTCCAACCCACCATGCCTATAAGTTGGAAGTCCAACCCACAATGCATGTAAGTTGGATGTCCAACCCACAATGCCTACAAGTTGGTAGTCCAATCCACCATGCCTATAAGTTGGAAGTCCAACCCACCATGCCTATAAGTTGGCAGTCCAACCCACCATGCCTATAAGTTGGCAGTCCAACCCACCATTCTTATAAGTTGGAAGTCCAACCCACAATGCCTACAAGTTGGTAGTCCAACCCACCATACCTATAAGTTGGAAGTTCAAACCACCATGTCTATAAGTTGGCAGTCCAACCCACCATGTCTATAAGTTAGCAGTCCAACCCACTATGCATGTAATTTGGCAGTTCACCCCCACCACGTCTGTAAGTTGAAAGTCCACCCCACAATGCCTACAAGTTGGTAGTCCAACCCACCATGCCTATAAGTTGGCACTCTAACCCACCATGCCTATAAGTTGACAGTCCAACCCACCATACCTATAAGTTGGAAGTCCAACCCACCATGTCTATAAGTTGGCAGTCCAACCCACCATGTCTATAAGTTAGCAGTCCAACCCACTATGCATGTAAGTTGGCAGTTCACCCCACCATGTCTGTAAGTTGGCAGTCCAACCCACCATGTCTATAAGTTGGCAGTCCAATCCACCATGTCTGTAAGTTGGCAGTCCAATCCACCATGTCTATAAGTTAGCAGTCCAACCCTCTATGCATGTAATTTGGCAGTTCACCCCCACCATGACTATAAGTTGGCAGTCCACCCCACCATGCCTATAAGTTGACAGTCCAACCCACCATACCTATAAGTTGGAAGTTCAAACCACCATGTCTATAAGTTGGCAGTCCAACCCATCATGTCTATAAGTTAGCAGTCCAACCCACTATGCATGTAATTTGGCAGTTCACCCCCACCACGTCTGTAAGTTGAAAGTCCACCTCACAATGCCTACAAGTTGGTAGTCCAACCCACCATGCCTATAAGTTGGAAGTCCAACCCACCATGCCTATAATTTGGCAGTCCAACCCACCATGCCTATAAGTTGGCAGTCCAACCCACCATTCTTATAAGTTGGAAGTCCAACCCACAATGCCTACAAGTTGGTAGTCCAACCCACCATGCCTATAAGTTGGCAGTCCTACCCACTATGTCTATAAGTTGGCAGTCCAACCACCATGCCTATAAGTTGGCACTCTAACCCACCATGCCT